TCTGACTTTATTTCTCAGAATTGAGAGAATAAAGTCACAATTGAATAAATTGAGAATTCTGACTTTTTCTTTGTGACTTATATCACGCAATTCTCGCTATATCCTGCAATTCTGACTTCATAACATGCAATTGCAAGTTTATTTTCTTTACTGATTTTTTTGCCCTTAAAATTGGACTTTAAACTCGCAATTGCGAGTTTTATGAAAAGATGTCAGAAATGCGAGATATAAACTCGCAATAGCGTGTTATAAAGTCAGAAGTCAGAGTTATAAAGTCCAATTCTAAGGGAAAAGAAACTTCTGAGAAATTGTTTTTCTCAGAATTGCGAGTTTATATCTCACAATTCTGACTTTTAACACGCAATTGCGTTATATCATGCAATTCTGACTTTATAACACACAATGTGACTTTATACAAAACAATTTTGTCTTTAACTTGCAATTGCAACTTTATATTACGCAATTCTGACTACATCTCGCAATTGCAAGTTTATTTTCTTTACTGACTTTTTCCCCTTAGAATTGGACTTTATAACTGGCAATTGCGAGTTTATATAGATGTATAGATGTGTGTAACTTTATATCACGCAATTCTGAAAAAGTCCCATAAAAAGTCATAATTGCGTGATATTACTTTTTTTATTTTTTCATTCTGTGGCGGAAACAAACTTCCATAAGGTGATGCTCTGTTGTAGTGAATTCAAAGCATTCAGTTAAAAGTTTCATTGGTTTACTGGGAATCACTGGTGTTGGTCTTCAATGCAAATGAACCTACTCTATGTCTACTTAAAATATTTTAGGTCTCCATTTCTTTTAGAAAGAAATACAGCACATTCAAGATTGTTTACCGCTGACTGGCAACCTCAATCTCCTTTTTAGAGGAACGTGGTCTGGAAGTTGTTCATTGACATGCAGGTTTTGATTGACTCTTACGTAAGTACTGTTACATCTTGGCTTCTTGATGCAGTTGAGTAAGAATCTACTCCTCATGTTGTCAGATGTGTCCAATTTGATTTAAGGAGAGACTAAACAGAAAAGAACATACGGCAGCATTACAAGTAGAAACATTAAAAGTGCAACAGACAGCAGATAAGCAATGGTTTGAAAACATAAGACATAAGCTGTTACAAACGTCTCCGGTCATTCATGTTTGGATTATAGTATTTGGCTTCTTGTTGAATTACCCTTGTGATTGCATGTTCTTGGAATTAAGACTGCTTGCTAAGATTCTCACCTCTCATCGAGGTCCATGTGTGTGTGTGTGTGTTTATGTGTATTTAAGTGTCTTGACTTGGTAGGGAGACACGTGTTTCTAATGTACTGTTAAACGTCAGTATTGACTCATTCTGCATTAGTGTTCTCGGAGCCACCACACATTATTTGTACCATGTCAAATTTAAGACAACTGATGCCATTTTATAGACAACCATCCAAACTATGTGAGATTCAGCAGTAATGCTCTGGGCTGAGCTAAATCATAGCCTTGTGAATGAGAAAGCTGATTGATAACAAGCGTTATACGTTGGAGAATTCAGGATGATGGACATTATGTAACTATTCTGTACGTCCCAATTATCATAAACAATAGTGTTTTGAACATAAAGTGCATCATGTTGTATACAGTGCAAGAAACAAAGGGCAAATCTATTTGAATATTATGAAATGAATCTATGAATTTACCTACAGACTTATCTGATGCAACACATTCATTTTTGGATGGATAGGATAGTAGAAAGCTGAACAGTAAAAAAAATGTAGGTTAACACTAACAGGCCTACATTTAACAGACTTGTTGAACTGGAAGAATGTTGATTACCTTATATCACTCACTTTAATCAGACCACTATGTCTCATGCTCTTAAAACAATGATGTTTTTTTTTGAATGACTAAATTAATGGATTTGGGTCATTATAAAATTGAAGATAAATTTACACTAAACTAAACCTTTATCTTTTAACTAAATATATTGCAATAAGTTGCATAATGCCACACAGTGAATTTTACTTTTTGATCCAGTTAATTCACATGATCCGATTCAAAATAACAAATCTCAATCTTTGCACACTTAGGAATGCCTTGTACAATAAACATGCTCAAAGACAGGCGACCCAACCCTGGGAAAACAAACATAATTATTAAACATCATTACAATCATTAATATCCACACCTTTACAAACAGAAAAGCTGACAGATTCCTATAACTTGTTTAAGTGGTTCGTCATGTGTGTGTGTTGACCTAGATGGTTTAATTAAAGGAGTGACAATCTCTCTCTTTTTTGGTAGGCTACACTCTAAAAAAATGGTTCTTTACATGTAATCACAGTTCTATTTAGAACCTTATCGACCTGAAGAACACTTTATGTTTTTATTACTTTATTACTTTTTGTTTTTCAAATCTGTAACTGTCAAAACCACCACAACTACAGACTGTCAATCTACGTACTCTCAACAGGTAAATTATTTCTTTCTTAAAATGTCTATAAATTATCACTTTAAAAATTGTAGCTGGTTTCCAATAATTTCTTTTTCTCTTTTTAGTTTAACTGAACATGTAAATGTAAGCAGCTCTGTTCAGTTAAGGATACACTCATCTTCTCTTCTCCAAAGTACTTTGTAAGTAACAGAGATATGGAATTTATAAACATTATGTCTTTATGCCTAAATATACACAGTCACAAAGCACATTAAAGCTATCCCATGACTTTATATCACTATTTACGGTAAAGAACTCATAATGTCTATTTTTGCTAATTTTGGCCTTAATGAACAATTATTTTTACGATGATCAAATGGAAGAGAGGCAATGTAACTCTAAACTCAATTGTATATTACAGCTATTGTCTCATATCTTAACCTCATCACCTGCAGAGAGATACTGCTATTTGAAATAAATAAACACATAAGGGACGTAAAGGGGATTGTGAAGATATTTCACTGGAACTTGGTCTTATATATACAGTATATCTATATCTTGTTCAATGTCAATTGTTATTATTAATGTATTTAGCAAACAACTCTTGTTAGAGCACTGTCATTTTTCTGCCATGTCAATAAAAGAATAAAAGTAATTGACACAATGCTGTTTTTTTTTTATATAAACCCCAAATATGAGCCCTAAGACCAGGCTGACAGAGGACTAACAGACAATATTAATAAATAAAATATAAAAATATGTATATAGTAATATTTATAACATGAAGATACTAACATATATGTTGAAAAGGTTATTTATAACACCATTAAGTTTATAGCACTTTCGA